TTTCTGTGAAATTGAACTTCTGCTTCTTCTCACATGCAATTTTGTTTGTGTTGTATCTTTAAAACACATCTGATGAATTTATACAGCATAAAAAGTTGTAGGTTAAACTTACCTCCTACAACTGACTGCTCACCTTACTGCATCTCTTTCATTGTTTTAGTTGCTTGTCCAATTTGCCTTCAAGATAAACTTTTAGCTCACAAATATGTTATTTCTGGGACTCTGTCGTGTACCTGCAGATGGAGAATGAAAAGGTTCAAAATATTCCTCACTTTGTGGTTGCTCCCTTGGCGGTCAGTGGTAAGTGCTTCTCACCTCATCTCAAACCTCTATTTTTAAGAAGTTTTATAAAGAACAATAACTTTTATTTCTGCCATATTAAATTGAACTTCTTTTGTATGGAGTCTTAGTTACTCTCTAGATGCTCGTGGTATGTGGGATATGTGTCTGACGTGCATCCAAATCGGTTATAAAAAAAATAAAAAATAGAGGAACAACAACAATTGAAGGCCTTAGCCTCAACTTAAGAAGATATGCCAACCAAGAGTGCAAGCGGTGCACAATCCCAAAATCAAGATTTTGTTGCAGAACATGCAATGTTTAACGAAGGCAATTCATTGAAGCGACGTCGCCGAGGCTTATTCTCTTTTCTCTGTGTTATTCCTGCCTTCACAGAATCATTTTCAGAATCAGATGAAGATGATTTCAAAACTGATGCATGTTCACAGATGCACAATTCAAGACTACTTCAGCTTAATAATGTAAGACTCAATGTTCGATTCATTAATATTTATTTGTTTGTATTTATTTGGTTGTTATATTCCATCTACTAGTTATTTATTTGTTTGTTTATTTGGTATGAACACACTACTGTTTAGTTTTTTGTTTATTTTGGTGAACAAGAAAAACAAATGACAAAGAAAGCATCAGTGTTAAAGTAAAACCAATATTTTGGCAAAAATTTGACACTTAAAGAAGGAAGAAGCATTCAAACCAATAAAAAGGCTAGTAGTTATATAGAAAGATAACAAAAATAAGGAAGAAGCATTCGAATGGTAATTGACACTTAAAGAAAGAATACCATTCGGCGAAGATCAAGTCTTTCTCATTAAAAGTTTCTTGGGATTTTTCTTGATACATGTTTATTCTCTTGATTGATCTCCTGCAAACATAATTTGCATGGTTTATTGGTTCTTAGTTGGAGATTAGTTCTCAGATGGTTGGCCGGAAGGACACCTCAAAAAGTGTTTTTGACGTATGGACAGAGGTAAAACAATAATATGGGAACATCATTTTCAGGTTCAGGTGATAAGCTACCTCCAAGGACTTAGCTTGGAAGGGACTTGGATTTTGAAGACTATCTTTAGTTAATTGTCTTTATTTATTAGTACATGTAAACATCCAAGCGTAGGGCTTTTCTTGTATTGAGTTATAACTCATCTTTTTGTATCCAAGGGTTGGCTTGGAAAGATGTAAGCCTGTAGAGCATTTTATTCGATGTTACATGTAATGCTTTTATTTTGTAATACTCTGATGAATGAATTAATAAATTGTTTTCTTTAAATAATGCATGTCAATTGTATATGTATATAATGGGTTTATTTTGAGGGCGTGACATCATCTATCTTGACTGTTCAATGATTGCCAACTATCCAGCGATGACTACAATTTAATTTTAGATGGGGCCCATGAAAATAGTTTACAACTTCACTATCATGATCCAGTTATGCGAAAGACTGTAAGTCATAATTGCAATAAAAACCTTTTGTGCTATGAAATCTGATACGGACCCATAAAGTAGCTTCCCTTTGACAAATAGGACTTGTGACAACTGGCAGCATGTAATTCGGACCCATAGGTTGGGAGTTAGAGCCGAATACGCCTTAAACTTAGTTGAAATAGGGCATTCCGGGGGCGAAAATTGAAAACAGCCCCCGAACCACTGTGTGGCTCTCACGGACAGCTTCCCCTTGACAAATAAGACTTGTGATAACTGACGGAATGTAATTAGGACGCGTAGGCTTGGAGTTAGACCCGAAAACGCCTTAAACTTGATCGAAAAAGGGCGCTTCGAGGTCAAAAATTCAAAACAACCCCCGAACCACCGTGTAGCTCTCACGGACAGCTTCCCCTTGACAAATAGGACTTGTAACAACTGACGGCATGTAATTCGGACCCATAGGTTGGGAGTTAGAGCCGAATACGCCTTAAACTTAGTCGAAAGAGGGCGTTCCGGGGGCAAAAATTCAAAATAGCCCCCAAACAACCATGTGGATCTCACCAACAACTTCCCCTTGACAAATAGGACTTGTGACAATTGTCGGAATGTAATTAGGACGCGTAGACTTGGAGTTAGACCCAAAAATTCCTTAGACTTAGTCAAAAGACAGCGTTCCGGGGGCGAAAATTCAAAACAGCCAACGAACCACCGTGCAGATCTCATGGGCAGCTTTCCCTTGACAAATAGGACTTGTGACAATTGTCGGAATGTAATTAGGATGCGTAGGCTTGGAGCTAGACTCGAAATTGCCTTAAACTTAATTAAAGAAAGGCGTTTTGGGGTCAAAAATTCAAAACAGCCCCAAAACCACCGTGTGGCTGTCACAGACAGTTTCCCCTTGACAAATAGGACTTGTGACAATTGACGGAATGTAATTAGGATGCGTAGGCTTGGAGTTAGACCCGAAAACGCCTTCAACTTAGTCGAAAAAGGGCGTTTTAGGGTCAAAAATTCAAAACAGCCCCCGAACCACCGTGTGGCTCTCACGGACAGCTTCCTCTTGATAAATAAGACTTGTGACAACTGACGGCATGTAATTCGGGCTCATAGGTTGGGAGTTAGAACTGAATACGCCTTAAACTTAGTTGAAAGAGGACTTTCCAGGGGTGAAAATTCAAAACAGCCCCCAAACCATGGTGTGGCTCTCATGGACAGGTTCCCTATGAAAAATAAGACCTGTGACAATAGACGGAATGTAATTCGGACCCATAGGTTGGGAGTTAGAGCCGAAAACGCCTTAAACTTAGACAAAAAGGGACGTTTTGAGGGAGAAATTCAAAATAGCCCCCGGGAGGGGAAAACTTGAGAGTATGAGACATAGGTTGGGAGTTGAAGTTGAAAATGCCATAAACTAAACTGAAAAATTGCATTTCGGGAGGGGAAAACTTGAGAGAAACTTGTCTGGACATGCAACATATGATTATGACTATAAATACACAATTTTGAAAACATTATATACATTCTAGTTTTATATAATTTTCTTTTATAATTTGAAATGATAGTGTTATTCAATCAATACTAATGGTTAATTTTATTTTAACAGATGGTTTTTGGGGTGGAAATGTGAATATTCTTTATTTGTGTGTGGAGGACATTGCTTTTTTTTATAATCTGTTATTATGTTGTCCTTTATTTTTTGTGGATTACTATTGTTCGTATAGATAACTATTGGCGTCGTACAAATTAGCTTTGGCATAGAACATATTACATTTGGCGTGGTACAAATTACCATTTGACATGGTATTGTGGATATTTCTTTTTTTATGTACGGAAGACATAGTTTTTGTATAATCCTCTATTTTGTATAGAATTATTATTTTAAATTAGATTATGCTTGGTTTGTATGGAATTTCTATTATATTTTGAATTTGACATTAAAAGTTAAATTTTCTTAGATTGTTATTATTTTGCTTATATACAGGGTACAGGTTGCATAGAATAAATATAGGGCGAAATTAATATAAAACAAAACTGAAGAAATTTTTTGGTGACTAAACATTTAGTAGCCAAAAAGAAGTGAAGTTGTTGATGACGAACCAAATTGGTAGTCAAAAGGAAATCAAGGTTTTTTGGTGACTAAATATTTGGTAGCCAAAAGAAATCAAAGATTTTTGGCGACTAAATAATTAGTAGCCAAAAAAAAGAAAAACGAAAAATAAATTTTATAAACGTTACCAATGACTATTTGTTTTTATAAATGTGATGTAATTTTGATAGTTTCTTTATAGATGATGTAATGTGAATGTAAATTTGATTTTGGTAATCCATGTATGTGTAGATTATTGATGTGTAAGGTTGTAAATTTGATTTTGGATGCCGATCTATTCGGCATAAAATGCATCCATATTGCAAGAGTACAGAACAATTGATTGCACAAATGATTGTGAGATTGGAACATTGCCTAGTGCCTACTAGATTCACTATGATTTGATTGTATACAATATTTAAGCAGATTATACAAGGATGCCAAACTTTGGCATGTTTTTTTTTTTTTTTGTCATGGCCATGGGTTCCAAAATGATTGGCTAATTGATTGGTGTTATCACTTTTTTTGCAAGAATTGATTGACTAATGGGTCCCCAATCAATTTTCAAATCTATTGCAAAATGCACTGCCTTGATAGAAATCAATTGGCCAATCCATTGGCCATAATCCAAATAAAAGCTAAAACCCAAAATCTTGAGTGTTTAGCCAGGCTATGGGCTTCCAAATTAGATTTTTTTTTATAATGACAAGGTTTGAAGTTAACAAATTGTATCATTCACAATCTCCTCATAAATTACTATTCAATACATTAAAACATCAAGCAAAATACATCATATTTCAAACATCAAGCAACTTATCCTCATTGACAATTTTCAAAAATTTAGAAGAAGATAAATAAATAAATAAATAAATAAAGAAAAAGGCAATATACTACCATATTTCAAACAATAAACAACCTGGTGAGGTCATATTCACCAAAACACCACCCATAAGAATTTTTTAATACACAAAACATATCATACTAAACTCCCAAAAGTAAGCAAAAAGTGTTCATAAACAAATTGGGACAACCACAAAACCCATAACATATTCAACTATCAATTTAGTCTAAGCATAGTAAAACAATGAAAAGGCCAAGGTCAAGGCTCCTTAGAAAACTCATCTCCGTCTTTAACATCTTCTGTTCCCAACTCTTCTTCGTCTCCCTCATCATCATCATCTTCATCTCTTCCAACTCTTCTTCGTGTCCCTCATCCTCACCTTGTCCTCCATTCTCGTGAGGGATATCTACATTTTTTTTGTCAATTCATTCAATGTCACTTACACACATTTTAGATCATTCTTTTCTTTCTCCTACATCTCTTCTGAGATTCTCAAACTTGAATGTCGTCCTCCTTAAATTTCAAACCAACATGCAACTCTTCCATCTTTGAGTTTAAGCTCTCCATATCCAATCTGGTAACAGATACAGTTGCTTCCAAATGCTTGATCATAGCATCTATGTGAAAAACAAGAAGCAAGTCTATTAATAAAAATTTAGATCAGAAGCCAATTGCTGATATCATGTGATAAGACTTACAACTCCTAGACATTAATCCACTAAAAAACACTTCAAGCACATGAGTATAGAAGTATGCCTCTGTTTGCAATTGGAATAGCTTATGCTTCCAATTGGAATAGCTTATGTAAAACTCCAAATGCATTAAAATTCATTAAATAAATCATTAAGTTAAATGTGTGATATTACTACTATCACTAATATAGGAAGAGCGTGGTGGCAGCAGCAGCAAACTGGTAATAGAAACTGAGCTCAATTCAACTCACTCAGTACTCCTTATTGTTACAACAACTATTCAGATTGTCTTCAAATGTTAATGATATTATGACAACCCATATTTTGGTCAAATCTATTAATTTCTCAAATAAGGAAAGGTGGTCACGTGAGGCATAGACCTCGGCTGCACCTTACTCTAGGCAAGATGTGAACCATTAGGGATGTTAACCTCAAAGTGTTTTCATGCAGCTTTTTTAGGATGCAAGCTTTAATTTTCTACTCATTAATACATTATTTCAATGAATTGGTCTTGAACCAAAGTAATTTGAGTCCTAATGGGGTAGCCAGTCCAGAAACAAACCATAAACAAAAGCAATCAATGAAGACGCTACCTTTTTCCTCAATGACATTGGTAGTTTTGCACTGTTCATCTCTGAAATATTTCTCCCTCTCCTCTTTTTCAATGCCAAGTTCTTTCAACTCTCTTTTGCCTACATTTAGAATTCAAACACATTTCATAACTCTGAAAAAAAGTGAAGAAAATGGAAATACCTGGTTCTTTGCTTACAAATTTATGATAAGCTTCTGTTTGGCAGCATCGATAGTTTTTATTGTTGGAAATTATCTGAAAACTTTTTATGATATAGGAAATAAGGATAACTTACAATTCCCAACAATTTCCTCTGAAGACTCAAATCTCAAAGACGACGTCTTCATTTGGTTGTGCAAATTATCAAGAGCTGCTGCACTGGAAGATAGCTTATCTTCAAAAAATTCCTTGTCTTTCTCAGCTGGTAAAGCAGATGTAAAATACTTACACCTTCGAAAAACATCATAAAGCCAGTTGTCGGAAAGTTGAATAAACTAACGAATACCTACCATCATGAACCTCATTGTGCCAACACAGTTTTTTTTTAGTCAAGCATTTTTTTCAAACAGTTCGAGGACCCTTAATATCAGATAACATTTACAGACTACCATCTATTACATATATACAGATATACATAGCATGTATATATTGGTGAGAAATAAATATATAGGAGAGGCTGAAATGTCCAATTGAAATTAAACTAATTTGAATCAAATTGAATATTTAAAGGACAAAATTAAAATTAGAGGCTGAAAGTGGCATGAACTTATTTTAGGAAGCATAAATGTATTTTATCTGGAAAACAAATTAACAACTTTTAGGTTCAAGATACTTACATAGTCCAGTAGGAGATTTCCATGCCTTTCTTCTGTGTTTCTTATTATTTGCAACAACAGATAAGAGCAATGATCCAAATCCCAAAACAATTGTCAAGTTTGACACACAATTTAGCAATATCATAATTTGACAAGAGGAACCAAGTTTTTGCTTTGGTTAGTACTCCATTGAAGATGCTCTTAAATGTTAATTTTTTTGAGGAATTTGACTACAAATGAAATGAAAATATAGTTAATACTTGTTTTACCCCTATTTTCTGAGTTTTCAACACATGGTACTGTTACAAAATTCATGAAGCTTTGGATAGTTAGCTAAATTGATGCAAAAAAATTCCTATGTATTCATTGTAGACACAAGAGGAGAGATTATGAGGGAGTAGGAGAAAGCATTGAAGCAACAAAAAATGGGAAACTCACACAAGGAGAATAGGAAGATTGAAATGACATTATGTATATAAAAAAAATGCAAAAGAATAATTTAAAATAGAAGGGAAAAAAAGCTCAAAAAGGCTGTTCACACCAACTGTATAGACAAAACAAATCATTAATGAGCCTCTAGGGTGGCCCAGTGTCAGGCCCTTATGCCCAGCTCACCGGAGTTGGGGGTACAATCCCCAACTCTACCAATTAGTGAAGCTGTATCGTGCAAGATAATTTATTTATAGTTTTCAAAAAAGGTCTCCAATGAAATTTTGATGAAATTGCAACAAATCAATGGAAAAGATATGAAAAGGAGATAAAATGGAAAAAAAAAATGTGACTTGAATCGGAAACCAATATCTTAGATCACAAATAAAGGGTTCTAGATCTTTGAGAAAAGTAAAAAAATGTATGTGCCTGGGAGTTAAGTTCAAACACACTCATCATCATGTGCCAATTGGATCTATAGAATGATGTGGATTTGCAAAAAGAAAAAGTAACATTTTTTCCATGACTTGAGTCAATAAGCAATCAATTGCAGCATTTACTGTTACTGACTTGATGCATTTAGATGCATATGCATTTTTTGACTATGTTAACCATGCAACACTATGTACCATAAATCATAACAGACCTTATAAAAGTCGTATAAAACAAGCTAGATTTCACACTTCGCTGCTAACCTTTGCTATAGAGATTAAAAATAAGAAATGATCTATTTTGCACAAAAAACTGTAAATGTAAAGGTGATAAAAAGAAGCGACGATGAAGAAGAAAAATAATTGAAGGGAAGAGAAGAGGAACAAAATTCTACCTGTGAGCCACACAATACGATAGTTCTCAACCATCTAAGCCCGCAACTCTTACCACATCGCTTCAAACCTACATTTATGAAGACAAAAAAAAAAAAAAAGGAAGGTAATGTCTCTTTTTCTCATTTCTTTCTACTATCATTATACTATTTAGCTTCTAAATTTTAATTTCAAATTTATTCTGCTCATGTTTAAAAGAATCAAGCACATTCTTAAGTTGAAAAAAATTTCAATTATAAGTTAAGTAATCCCAATTTTTTTGGGTTAAAAAAGTTGAAAAAATCAAATAATCTAGAATCTAGAATTGTAATCAAACACCATTAATTGACCTTTTTTTAATCAAATAACAAAATATGCTTGCTCTCAGTTTCCAGCTTTGTTTTTGGACTGCTCTTATTTTTGTTGTCCAATTGTCAAACTGTCTAACTCACAATCACACAGACTTCAGACAAAAATTTCAAAAGAGAAAGGGAAATAAAGAATCATTTTCTTCCATAAATGTCTCAAATTCTTAATATGAATAGAACGTAAGGAAGTAGTTTATTTCTTGTACTTGATTTCTGACCTCTGTTCTATTTTGTGGACAAACAATCATATGAAGAGACAAAAAAAGTCACCCAAACAATCCTTCCCCTTCCCCTTCCCCTCCCCTCACCCCTCACTACAACAAATTTGCTAGTCAATAGATATTTCAGCTTTTGTTTCACACTATTGTACAATTCCAAGTAATCTCTTGTGGTCAACCATGACAATAATTTGAATTTTGGTTGCACAACACTGCACAAATGGCCAAGTCCTTCAATAAAAAAAAACTGAAACAAATTTAAAATTCAGGGTCTATTTGTTTGCCCATAGTGTAGGTGGAAAGATAATGAAACATTAATTGATAAACTTATGTACTTGCAATTCTTTAGCATTCAGTAACTAAAACTACTCATCATGAGTTCATTGATAGAGATCAGTAGCATTCTTTTTACACTCCTCTCATTACACTCTCCTATCTCATCAATTCTTAATAACCCTAGAAATTGTCGTCTCTACCTATACCAAAACGCAATAAAACTCAAACCCTAGCATAATTTTTATCTACAAATTTAAACAATTCTCCTATCACACTTCCAATCATAGTTGAGCAAAAAACCAAAATTCACATGCATAAGCAATAAATAGGTCAAAATAAAGAGACCCATCTTCCATTTGAAGACAGCCAGAGAGGGGCAAAAAGAACTTCTTTTTTTTTCCATTAACGAAGAACAAGAAAATTAAAATTGGATTTAGAGAAGTATATAACCACAAAAAATTAGGAGGTAAAAATAAATTAAAAAAAAACTCATCTAGCTCAGCAGTACCCAAAATTTATACATCCATTCAAAACACACAAAGTGCAATATCTAAATTCTCAACATAAAGTTGAAATTTTGGTAGTTAAAATATTTGTAAATGCCCTTGCAGTTTTCTCAACATCTAAGTTCTCAACATAAAGTTGAAATTTAGGTAGTTAAAATATTTGAAAATGCCCTTGTAGTTTTCTCAACATAAACTTGAAGTTTATGAGGAAAGCATAAATGTCAAGTATTTTGATAAATGGCTCCTCCAACACACATCCAAGCAAATGCTGTAGAAAAAAGGAAAGAATATGCATAGCAGCTTGTATAAAGGACATTGGTTCCAAAATCAACTCAATTATCATTCCACTTGTGATTGCTCAGTCACCATGGATAAGCAAACACAGTTTTTTTTTTAGTCAGGCATTTTTTCAAGCAATTAGAGGACCCTTAATATCATATAACATTTGTAGACTTCCATCTATTACATATGTACATATATACATAGCATGTATATAAATAATATGTAGGAGAGGATCTTGACAGGATAATACTACTAGGATGCTTGTTATATTTGATTCAAGGTTTAAGATATTGCTATTTGAACATGCTTTATAATTTTCCACTTTGAACTCCTTGTGTTGAGTTAAAGCTCAGATGGATAGAGGACATTATAAACTTTGTATTAAGTAGCCCACAACTACATTTCTACTCCCACAAGAACTTATTAAATAAGATAAAAATTAAGGTGAATTTAGGCATTCTAAACAATGCTAATGTTTAAAATTATAGTCAATTTGGTTTGAAATTCATGAAATCACCAAATGTTCATAATGTGAATAGCATCAAATTCTATAACTAAATTAAGTGGCCCAGGATTGTACGAAAATGCTTACTCAATGTACTCATCCCACACAGTAACTATCACCATCAAAGATCATGTACTTGTTCTTCCTAGCTTTTGCTTCTCTACAGCCTGTCAATGAAAAAAAAAAAAACTCATGTTGCTGAAATTGCATCCCATTTTCGTGCAAAAACAAAAACTATTAAATGTGAAATAACCATTACCTATCTTCGAAATCACCCAAACTGGAGAGAAAAATTAGGGCAAAGATGAACTGTCCATCTTCTGATTTCGTTTCTAATGCGTTAAAATGCCTCGCCGCCTGGTCTTTCTCATCGCAATCAGCCCGTTTGAGATCGCCGTTCTGACGAGTCCGATGATAGTCCTTTGTAGACAAATGTTCTGAAACAGTTGAGGGAAGTGTAGGGTCTGGATTTGAACATATGGCTTGTGGAGGGATTGGAGAAGATCGAAGGTAGGGTTAGGGTTTTAGATCCGACGACGAGAGTGGAGAAGACGAAGAAGACGACCGGTGAAGAGAATAGGAGAAGAGAGAGAGGACGGTGAGGGAGGAGGTGTGGCGGCGGCAGTGGTGGTCGCCGGTGGCGTCACCAGAGCCGACGACGTAGGAGGCGGAAGACATAAAAGAGAGGAGAGTGAGAGGGAGTGTTAGGTTAGGGATTGGGGATTTGAGATCATGAGAAACAGAGGGGGGGGAGAGCGGGAAAACGAAAGAAATTTTTTTTGTTAATTTTTTTTTTTTTTTTGTTTTTGTTTTTTTTTTTTTTGTAGTTAATTTTTTTTTTTTTTTGATTTTTCAATTTTTTTTAGGTTACTACTCGTTTGGGTACCCTTTTTTTTTAGCCAAAAAGCAAAAAAGTTACTAAATTAACCAAAAAGCCAACAACCCATACCAAAAAGTCAAAGATTCTCTTTTCTCTTTACTTTTTGTACATCTTTTCATAAAAAACTAAAAGTCATCCCAAACATACTAGTTTTTTTTAGCTCATATTTTAGCCAAATAGCTAAAAAGTTACTAAATTAGTCTGTTCCCAAACGAGGCCTAAAGGTTGAAAATTTATTTGTTTCATTTTTATTTTATTAAAAAAATTTATTATTTTTTTTATTTGGTAGAAGTAGGGGTGATATTTTATAGGGGTAATATTTTAATTAAAAATATTTTCTGTTAAAATAAAGTTAATTTTTTGTGAGCGGGAAAATGAAAATAAATTTTTTTTGTTATTTTTTTTTTGTAGTTAATGATTTCTTTTTTTTTCATTTTTTTTTAGGTTACGAAGGTTGAAAATTTATTTGTTTCATTTTTATTTTATTGAAAAAATTTATTATTATTTTTTATTTGGTAGAAATAGGGGTAATATTTTAATTAAAAATATTTTCTGTTAAAATAAAGTTAATTTTTTGTGGTCAATGGAAAATATTTTTTTGCAGCCCATTTTTTTTTGTTACTATAAATCAGGAACTAATTTTTTGTAGTAGAGGAGAGAGTGCGGTAGTAGTGGTGAAGGTGGTGGATAAGAGGTAATAACGAAGGAGATTAGTGGTGAAGTTGTGGTAGTGGTAGAGGTAGAGGAGATGGAGCGACGGTGGTGGAGGAGAGGTAATGGTAGTAGTAGTGGCAATAGTGGTGGAGGTGGTGGTAATGAAGTGGTGGTGATGGTGGTAGTAATGGTAGTCGTAGAGGTGGAGTGGCAACAGTGGTAGTAGTGGTGGTAGTGGAATGACATTTGCAGTAGTGGTGAAGGTACTTAGAGGAGATGTGTGGTGAGAGAAAGAGATGAGTGAGAGAGAGACAGAGAGAGAGAGAGAGAGAGACAAAGTGTTAAGCGAGAGAGAGACAAATTGGCCACTAAAAGTGCATTTTCTTATAGTGGATTGATAAGTCCAGAGGGAGCTTGGTAAGTAGAAAAGAGGAGAAGGAGAAAGTGAGCAAGGCGAACACATAAACATATATTTGCAATTGATCAAAGAAACATAAATGTGAAGTCCCAACACAAAATACTTTTCGAATTACCAAATCTGGAAATTAACATATGCCCAGAACGAAATATGGTGGCTAAGAGAGAAAGAGGAAGATATTAGGGCACGATGGCAGGAAGCAAGAGAGGATGAAGATGGACAACAAAAGCAATGGAAAGCAGGCTTACCGGTAGGATTGGCTGGTGGTAGCAATGGGTCGTGCGAATGTGGGGACTATGGCGACGGAATGGGGTTCCGCTGTATTCAGAGAGACGGTGCCAACGGTGGCATGGTGCCGTAGTGATTACAGGGTGGTGAAGGTGTGTGAGGTAGAGATTGCTAAGAGAGGGAGTCGATTTGTGAGAAATTAGGGTAAATAATAAGATATAGAGAAAGAAACAGAAATCAACTTACCTAGTCAGAATGAAATACTCTAAGTTCGTGAATCGGCGGTGTCGACTTTGGATTTCGGGCGGTACAACGGTGGAATGGAGCAACAAAATCGTCCGTGAGGGAGGAAGAATGAGAATAAGTAGTCGTGTGAGAGAGAGGAAGAGAAAGAGACATGAGAAACGTAGGAGGGATTCGGGGCAAAACTTGGAGGGTCCCAAATTTTGAGAGGGAATTTCAAATTAACGTAAAATTTTGGTAATTACACACATTATACGATTAATTAGACAGCAAATTAATTAAGAAAATTAAATTATTGTTAGCTAATTTAAATGATAGTGACAATCACTTTTTTGCCAACGAATCCATTGATGACATCTCTCTTTAACTCGTAAGTTTTCCATTTACTCGCTAGTTCATCTTTGCCTTTAATTTTGTAATTTTTATTTCTTTAGTAGAAATTTCACTTTTTTTTATGATAACGATGACAAGGATAATAAAGGTGGTGGTAATAACAATGGTGGCTTCATAATGGTGGTGTCGGCGGTTCTGACAGTGACAGTGACGGTGATGATGGTTGCAGCAATATTAGTGATGATTGTAGCAATTGTGAGGTTATAATGATGTATGTTGATGCTTGTGTATAAATATTTACAAATTCAATTAGCATTAAATAATTATGTAATTTTATGTGAGAAATTCGTCATAATTTAAATGAATTTTATCCTACAAACTCAAACTCAATTATAATTGGATTCGAATGGATTGGACAAAGGGTATCACCTCTTACACCAACACTGCAAAATTATGATAATAAATTTTAAATAATATATACTTTTGAAAAAAATATAAAATTATTATTTAGAATTATCTTCACACTATGAAAGCATGGGTATAAAAATTATCATCTAGAATTATCTTGACACTATGAATTATCTTCAAACTAGTTACACACTATAACAAATTGCACATTTGAAAACTAAATTTTTAATTGTTAAAAATTATTTTTAGTCGACTAAAATTATTTTAGTAGCCAAAAAATACCATTCGTCGACTAATAATTTAGTCGCCATAATTTTTTTAAAAAAATTTATTTTGAACTTTTATCGACTAAATTTTTAGTCGTAGATAAATTTTATCACTACTATGTTTTATTTAGTGATTAAAATATATAGTCGCCAATTCTTTTTTCCATTATCGGTGACAAATTAATTTTGTAGCCAAACATCTAATTGACTCCTTTAGCTAGCAACCAAACTTTTTTGTAGGCAAAAGATTGTAGTTTTTTTGGTGACTAAATGTTTAGTCGTAAAAAATATCGAAGAAGCCTTTATTTCCTTTTGGCTACGAATTGGTTAGTCGCCAACAACTTCACTTCTTTTTAGCTACTAAATGTTTAATCGTAAAAAACTTTCTTTAGTTTTTATTTTTATTTTTATACATATATATATTTATTTCGCCACAACCTGTATTTATTCTGTGCAACCTGTACCGTGTATATAAAGAAAATAATAACAATCCAAGAAAATTTAACTTTTAACGTCAAATTCAAAATATAATAGAAATTTCATACGAATCAAGCATAATCCAACCTAAAATAATAATTCTATACAAAACAGAGGATTATACAAAAATCATGTTTGTCGTACACAAAAAAAAGAAATATCCACAATACCATGTCAAATGGTAATCTATACCATGCCAAAAGTAATATGTTATATGCCAAAAGCAATTTGTACCATGCCAATAGTTATCTGTATGAACAATGGTAATCCAAAAAAAAAAAACAAAGGACAACATAATAACAGATTATAAAAAAAGCAATGTCCTCCGCACAAAAATAAAGAATATCCACTTTTCCACTCCAAAAACCATATGTAAAAATAAAATTCACATCTACATCAAAATACAATACATCCACATCTACATCCACATCTATTAATTCATTCCCAATACAAATTATTAATATTTTCTAAAATACAATACATCCACATGTACATCAAAATTCACATTCAAAAAATCATTTACCGAGGCACTAACCGGACAACTCGGATCATTGTCACCCACAATGAACAATACAGGCACCTTTATATTAGCAACGACAGATGGGTCAATTCTTGTGCCATAGAATGAAACTCCAATGCCAAAACAGGCACCCCCGTCCTGGGCGAGCGCATCTATTAGTCGGCCACCTCCAAAGCAGAATCCGATGATATCAAGCTTCTTTGAGATTCCTGCAGCTACAAACTCATCCATCATCCATTTTTTCGAGGTTGTAATGTCTTTTGCAATCCTTTCCGGGGTTTGTTGTGCCAGCCATTCTTCAAATAAAGTCTTTGGTCTGTCCTTTGCCCATGGATCCCCACGAAACAAGTTCGGTACTAGTACACTAACAATATTTATTTCAAGAAAAACACCAATAAAAATTATATAAAGGATCATTTTAAGAATTGTTAACAATGCTGACAAAGATATGGAAAGACAAGACAACATGGATATCACTGCATAGACCAGCAGCATTAGATACAGAATGCTCAAGTTTGTTCAGGTGCCAAAGGCATAAAACCGTAAATGAAGCCTTTTTAAAAATTTATTTGAAATATATTTTTCTTTTTTGTTGAAATGCTAAACAAGTTTGTTCAAGTGCCACAGGCATAAAAAACTTAAATGAAGCATTTTTAAAATTTTATTTGAAATATATATTTCTTTTATGTTGAAATGCAAAATTACTAATTACATTCAAGTTTAAAACTTTCAATTCCCAAAACGAGTTAAAACCAACAGTATAATATTTTTTAAAAAAAAATCGAGATTAAGATAGCTCCCCCTACTTTTTTAATTGTTAGTGTGATCACAAATGGAAAATCTTATTTGCCTAGCACTGAGGCCACTTCTGACTAGATACATGTATGCCCTATTCCCAGTGCATCAAACATCATCAAATACAAGTGTCTTTGGTAGCTGTAGTGTAGTAAAAATGTATTTTCACATATGATGTCTAAAAATCAGGAAACATACTTGTAACCGTTGCAGGCAACACGATATACGAAATCTCTAGTGGATGAATCCTCAAATCCTAAGATATCGGACAAGAGCAAGATGCTGGCTCCATTGTTGTTCTTCACTGCCGTGAAAAGACAAGCAAGGATACTGTCATCTCCCTCGCCTATCGAAATCTCAACTCCATTGACTAGCTCACAAGCCTCATCATTTATACCGTCTTCAACTTCCACTGGGCTGCGAGATACTTTACAAGCCGTAGATTTTATAAAACATAATGAGGGTAGGCGAGGATTTGAAATTGCAGATTCTCTGGACAATAACTGAAGCCCTTATAGTCTAAAAATGAATAAGATATATAAATTGCAGATCCAAAATATACATATTTGACCAGACCAATTATGAATAAGATATATAAATATTCCATTTTACAGCCAAAAAAAGACAATGACAAGTAAACAACATATGATTGGCACTCCTATCGTTTTCTTCTGTAAATTGTAGAACTAGTTTCCCCTACTTGTTTACAAGTGATCCTGGTATGGCTATAAGAAGAAAAAGTTCACTTGGGTTCGAATGATAACAAATTAAATTGATAAATATACCAAATTATCACAACACACAATTTACATGTTGAAGCATCATTTATTTTGCAAGCAACATGTCACTGGGATGGGATGGGATGGGAAGTGTTGCAGTTACCATTTAACAAATGCATTTTCGGGTCAACCTTGGTCATGGAAACTCTCTCTTTATACATCAATTTTTCTCACCATATCATGCCAAGCAAAATATACCAAATTAAAACCATCAAAGGTCGTATACCAGAAACTGTATGAGGCCAAGTGAAGGTTAAGGTCACAAATCATAATTTTTGTAAGTTTCAAAATCAAGAATAGACCATTTTACATTTCTAAAGATCAACAACATAAAGCATCCATCCAACCAAAAACTCAAATATGGGAGCTCTTACTATTAAGATGGTGGTCTAAAGAGAGAATTTGTTCCCCACAAATCCTTTTGCTTGGAATCCTTGATGTCCATTTTGCAAATGACGCTAATAACGGTGCCACATGTAACGTAAGCTTCAAATTTCCAAATGTGTTGACATTGAAACTTCTATGGATCTTTTAGAACACCAAAATGTCATTCTATTTTCCTTGTACACGAATGTGCTTAAATTATCAAAATTATCACTTAAAACTTTATTCACATACGGAAGCTACATTTCACACACACCAACCATGAACAAAGTAGGTGGAGGGGGCGGGGGGAGGTGCTATGGCAGAAGGGTCAATAAACATGACAACAATATACATCTACCTTGCTTACTAATGATTCTAATCTGGTTCATTCCTCAGCCCACAACTATAGCGATCCCGGTATTCCCTATTATTGTTTAACTGTAATCCAGATTCGGTTTCGTGAGGGTGCTGCTGTCTTATCCTCTTACTATTCCTTTCTCTTTGTATTCGAGTCTTGAGTTGTGTTGGGCGAGTTTGAAACAGGTTGGTTGAACTCAGAAACCAAGAGTAGTTGCCCAGATTTTGGCCTTCACGCTCGAGCAGGGTTTTCGACGCTCGAGCGTAGTTTTCCATCTTCCAGTATCTCCTCTGCAGTGTTGTGCGCTCGAGCGGGAGTTTTGACGCTCGAGCGGGATGTTGTGTGTGACGCTCGAGCGGGAGAGTTGACGCTCGAGCGGAGACCTGGTTCTGTAAAAGTTCTGGGAGTGTGTATCCGCCGCTCGAGCGGGATTGTTGACGCTCGAGCGGGGGTCTGTGAGTGACGCTCGAGCGGGGGTTTGGACGCTCGAGCGGGGGCGACTTTTATATAAAGCCGAGATCCGACCTTTTTGTTCACTTTTCAACATCCTTTCTCTCTCCTGCTTTTCCAAAAAAGTATTTTGAGAGCTCCTCTCACTAAAACCCTAGCTTCTCTCTTAGGATTGATCTAGTAGGAGTTGTTTTCTCACCTTGGGCCTTTACAAAAGTTGTGTTGATCGTCGAGGGCTATCTTTTAATCTTAAAGTTTTGGGATTTGGAGCATTTCTGTTTCTTCATCTTCTTCGTTGAGCCCCATCATTCGAGGTAGGGATAACCTACTCCATCTTATGAGTTTTGTCTTTAATTTTTAGCATTTTGATATGTTGGGGGTTGTTGGGTAATTTTGAGAAAGTTTGGGCCTTTGTGTAATTTTACGAAAGTTGAGGTTTTAAATATATAAACCTATATGGATGTTAGGCATAAAGAAATGAGATTAGTGTTGGGACATTGATGAAAATGGAACCTTAGGGTTGTTTTGTGAATTATGGTAATTTGCCCTAATTGGTTTAATTAATTAATGCATGATGATTAGGCGAACTAAAACTAATCAATCGGGTGTGTCATAGAGTATGACGGATGATAGAATACATTAAATTTATGTATTGATTGATTGGGTATATGACCAATGTGTTTATATGCATTATGTGTAGACGGTTGATAGAATACATTAACTTTATGTATTGGTTGATTGCGTGTGTGATTCTGTGCTTACTTGCATTACTTGTGTATGGGAGGAGATGGGGGATGTACTCCACGGCTTAGGGGAAGATGGGGGATGTACCTCTAAGCTGGTTAATGGTTTAGGGGAAGATGGGGGATGTACCTCTAAACTGGTCAATGGTTAAGGGAAGATGGGGGATGGACCCTGGAATGCAGCTCATATGCTCACCCGTTGAAGTATTGATATAGCTCATATGCTTATCTATTGGAATATTGATATAGCTTATATGCTTATCTGTTGTGGTAGTGATATAGCTCATATGCTTATCTATTGGAATATTGATATAGCTCATATGCTTATCTGTTGTGGTAGTGATATAGCTCATATGCTTATCTATTGAAGTGTTAATATAGCTCATATGCTTATCTGTTGTAGTGGTGATATAGCTCATAGGCTTATCTATTGAAAAGTTTGTTTGAATTGATATAGCACTAACATGTATATCATCATCGTTTGTGAAGTATGGAAGTAGTTTATGTGTTATTGATACAACACCAAAATGTGTATCCACCGTGAATTTCGAAAGTGTTCTAGTGATGAACTATAACCTCATCAAATGTTTTGGCCAGAGTACTGAGCCTTGTTTTCAAACTCAAAGTCGAATAAGAAATGGAAAGTGAATTGCAATATAAACTTGACTGTCATGGAATTTTAATAAGATATAAGTGGAAGTGTAAGTTTCGACCATCTATCAGTTGCTAATCTTTTAATCATTGTTCATAGTTGGTTTAGTATATCTCCGCTGGGCTGTGGCTCACCCTATATGGGAACATCATTTTCAGGTACAGGTAGCATGCCACTTCTGAGGACATAGCTTGGGAGGCTAGGGGCAAACTTACTTTTGTTGCCTTATTTTCCTTTTGATGTATTACATGTAAATTCAAGCCCAGGGCTTAATGTGTAACCGAGTCGATACTCTCTTTTGTAACCAAGTGTTAACTTGGAAAGCTGTAAGCCCGTAGGGCATTTACTTTTGTTGTTAACGTGTGATACTTTTGTAATGAAGTAATCTGATGAATTGAGGAAATGTGGATCTTCTGTATATAAATGCATGTTTATATTGATGGGTTTAATGTTATTATTTTGAGGGCGTTACAACAACCACTTCCCATCCCCAACCCTTGCCCAAATCTTGACTCATACATAAATTTGAGTAAACAACCACTAAAACCCCCTCCACTCCTTTACTCAAACCTATACCAACTTGAGTTTCACTCAAATTTTGACTCAAATCAAGGGTGACTCATTTCCATTACTCAAATTTATATCCAATCAAAACTTGACACATAGGTGCATTTACCCAAATTTTCCAAATTCTTCTTTACTCTGACTCCTGATATCCACTCAAAACTTAACACTAGGTAATTTTACTAAAATTTGATTTTATCAATTAGAGTGTTTCATATCAAATGAAGCCTTTTACTCAAACTTCTAGTCAATTTATTTATGTTTATTTTTATGTTTATTAATTTTTTTTTGCTGATTACAGAGTGATTCTTTAAAACAAAAAAAAAAAGAAAAAAAAAAGGTGTAATATCATTTAATTAATTCAAGACTCAAAACTAAATCAACCCAAACTATAAGAACCAGATCAGTAATATAATAAGCATGAATCTCAACAATCCATTAATATTTCTTCAAAAATCTGAACAATCAATAAAAAAAAACAATTTTAATAATAATAAAAAAAAGCAATGGAAACAAACTTACAGAAAAGGGAAGCTGAGGAGAAGCAAAAGTTGAAAACAAGTGAGGGTGGTGATGGTTGAGCTGCCTTCTAAGTAAGATTGGAGCCGAAAACAAGGGTGATGATGCCAACCCCATAGCCATATCCCTCTACTCTTTTACTCTAAAAATGGTTGCAAAATTCAACTGTAGAATGGAAAAAACAAACAAGTAGAATTGACCTAAACTAACTTAAGAATATACATCATTCTATCCATCAAAGAGCAATTATATTGACCCAACTGCATGTTATCAATAAGAGACGGCTAATAATCTCTGCTTTCTAAAGAACTCAATTGAAGGAAAATAGTCAGTTAACAATGTATCTTCCCAATTGCTTAGGTTTTCTTCATCAATTACAAAAGTCAAGAAACGATGGATCTTGATACCTGCTTCTGTGGGAAAAGAAGTAACATTTAAAACAAAAATTTCCCAAATACAAAGGTTCTTGGCCAATATTCACCAAGTGACAGTAGGTTTCCATCTCTTCTCAAGAAACAACAAGGCTACTTGCTCTCAATTTCAGATGTGGAAACTCACTACTGAGGAAGAAAACTGAATATTGTGACTTGTGAGTAACATAGTAAGAGGAAAATGGATTTCCTTGCAATTAAACAAGTATTTTCTCTTCTAAAGATGAACCATGAAAGTACTGTCAAGCATTAAATATGATTGCAGAAGATCAGACATCAGTCAATTGAAAAAATGATTTTCTCACCAGTCCATGCAAGAGAAAATAAAAAGAAAGAAGTAACAACAAAAATGGCAACGAAACCTATGGCCCGTCTAGCTATGGATTTGCTATCCTCACAATATGCATAAAATTCAACTAAAAAAGGGCGACCCAATGCACAAGTTTTCCACTATAGTGAGGTCTAGGGTGGGCAAGAAAAACACAACCTTACCCTCATTTCTAGACAGGAGGTTTCTGTAACTTGAACTTGCGCCGCCAAGGACACTAATGACAAAGCTTATAGTTAAGCATGGGTAAATACAAAATAAGGTCATTGAAAGATATAACAAAGCAATTTCTTCTTACACTAAGGTAGTGATAATGGACAGTCATATAAGTCAGATATGAGAACCATATGGGTAACTTTTTCCCATAGAACTGGAAATACTTTACATAGCATTATTATGCCTGGACTTTGAGTAGTTTGACATATTACCATGATTCAAAGGCATTACTGACATAATATGTAGAAGAATGAGATAAAATATGAGATGAAAAGTTCACAGACATGCAGATGAGATCAAAAATATCATCCTATTATCTTAATAAACAGACTAAAAGTTTGAGTCTCTCTTCCTTACCTAACAAAAACATGACAAAGGAAAAGAAAATACTATCAAAACATTTTATAAAAAATTAAAAAAAAAAGAAAGAAAAAAAAAAAGAAAAAAATGAAGCAAGAAGAGAATATAGACAGAGGACAGTATATCATGCAACACTAAACTCAGGTTGCTATCCAGCTCAATTTCCCCAAGGTATAGTTTGGAAAGCAAAGAGCATGCAGGTCAGGCCTCCACCAAGGAAACACAACCACTATAGCACTTGCTTATCTATCCTAATAGATGTACTTATCAAAAAATTAAATAAAATTGAATTTCATTAAGGCAGTGTCATGTTACTAAGTGAACAACCTCAATCTCATCATAGGGCACAATCAATGCTAGAAACTATCAAGTTGTGCTAGATACAATTTAATTTATGAACTCAATTTTACCTTTCATTTTGGAATGGCTTCCCAAAAATAAAAGTAGAGGTGGAGATTATAAAATACTAGTGGATGAAGTCAAAGCAACCCAACATAGTGTGAAAACCCACATGCACTTGCTTAGGGCTTTATTTTTCCAGTCAAAAAGTCTTATTCAAACTCGAAAACTAAAGCCATAGTTGTGTAAGTATCAATGCACCTTCCCTATTAACATCCACCCAATCCTAGCTTCATCAAATTAACCTCATAAACCCTAGCTTCATCAATTAACAGCTTTCAAAACTCAAAATTATACAAAATTAAAAAACCAAAATCAGAACCCTAGAAACTTTTGTGTTCTATACCAGACACTTGAAAAAACGTACACACAAAATCAACTTACAAAACCTAAAGAAACATAACAAGAACACTCTAGATTTATAGATTAATATAAAATAAGCATCAATCGACCAAAATATAAATTAAAATTTCACTCTTAACAGCAATCAAAATGATAAAAATCAAACAAATTTGAATGAACCAACGAGAACTCACCTCACGCACAGATAACCAGTGTGATCTTGAAAGCATCTTCAATGACATTGAAAATGTAGAATAACAGAGATTGGGAACATAGCTCTGTTCGTTATGAGAGAGAGAGATTTGCAATTCGCACCTCCAGAAGATCGTCGACTGTCAATTGAGAACAACTTGAAGGAACTTGATTCAGAACAACCTGAATTGCCTATTTACCATTGCTCCACGAGCATTGAACAATTTCTCCTATTTACCAACTGAATGAAAATCAAAATCAAGTTATACAGACAATTTAATCAATTAAAAATATATTAAGTTAACTACAATGGATACAGAAATAATCCCAACCCCAAACCTAATTTTTTCAATCCCTAATTTTTCAATTGAAACCCATGAGGCAAGAGACGAGATAAAATATAGAAAACAAAATTAAAAAAAGAACAAGTAAGACAGTAAGTAACCAACTAGGCAAAGAATCCATTATTAGATATAATGTATCAAATTCTACCAACAAATTTCACCCAATATATCTTATAATCAAGTTGTGCGAGAAACAGTTTGATTCATTGAATTGCCTATTTATCGAGAAATAGAGCTTTAGGGATTTCAAACCATACCTCTTCAATGAAAACTCTTTTGAACCAATAAGCTACTGGAGAAGACAGAGATCTTCAAGAAGCCTTCGAAAGCAAGAGACGAGAGTGACAGATGATAACGAGAAAGAGAACGGACAGATAAATCAAAGAGAGAGGGAGAAACCATAGATTCGGAGCAAAGGGAGAAATTTTTAGGGATTTCAAAGCCCTACCTCTTCAATCCTTGCATAGCCTGCGACTTCGATCTCCATTCATGGAAGACGACCAGAGAAGAGAGAAGGGAGTCCTATTTAGTCAAACGTCACAGAGAGAGAGGTGACTGATGAAAGTGGAGAGAATGGCTGGGAAAGTTTCAATCGGTTGAGCAGGTAAATGGTATAAACTGTATAAAATATTGAAGGGTTTAGATTAATTTAATCAAATCTAATGACTGAGAATTAACTTGCATATGGTGTGCAAGTTTCAAGCCTTGCACACTACAACAGCTCCCATGATATATATCCGTGGTGGGCTTTATAAGTTTTTCAAATTCTCTTAAATTTATATTCTCTCTTCAACATAAGATGTGTCAATCACCACATAATGTGCCAAATTAAATAATTAATAAATGAGAGTTGACACATATGAAATGTGAGAGTGTTTAGGGCAAAGAAACATGAAAAATAAGGACAAAAGATCTCATGGCCAAAAAAAAACTAGTAAGGTGACATTTACATGAAAATGCTAGAGAAGAGATTTCATGTACACTATGCAACAATTAATTCATAATTTCATTATAAATGCTATATACTCAGAAAAAATATCAAGAAAAATACCTAAAATTTAAATCGATGGTGTAGATTTAAATTTAGTGTGACGTGGGTATTATTCTGAATACGTAGCATTGCGATAATTTGATGTACTCAGATAGAAACAGATGCTCTTGATGGAAGAAGAGAAGGACTAGCATGAGAGAAAAGAGGCTGTCAAACTAGCCAAGATGAATGCCTGCAGAGAACCAAATAAACAAGGACTAATGATCAATGGGTGGCTGCAGGCAAGTCATCCTTGGCTACCAAACTAGACTCTTGCCTTCATGTAAGACCTCTCTTCCTCTCTCTCTACTATTACATACCACTTCAAGCTCTCCAATAATTACATTGCAAAATACTTATTGTGTGTGTCTGTATTTATAGAGGCTCAATTAGAGAGAATAGACATCTGATTCGGATTCAGTAGTTTCACACAATAGTTTGGCTCTTCTTTCTTTCCTATTCTTTGTGATCTTCATTCAACCTCTCATTTGCATATGCATGAGTAGTGAGTGCATCATGTACCTTGCATGCCCATAAAGGGGAATATATTCTATTTTTATATATTTTTTTAAAAAAGTAATGAGGAACCAATTTGTGCGTGTGCTTCTTGACCTTCCTGCTTTAGATACCTGATGGATATATGGAATTTCAACAGTAAAAAAATATTAAAAAAATAAAGGATACCTTCAAAGCCTTCTTTCTTAAGACCACAAAATTGATTTGATGGATGAATTACTTTTTTTATCAAGCGTAATGTATGAATTTGAGTCTTATTAATTGTAAGCACTTCACTTTCTTAATTCCTCCCCTACGAATTAAATATGAAAAAAAAAAAGAAAAAAAAAAAACCAAAAACTTCTTTATGACTCCAGTCACCATTGGATTGCACATTGGCAGCCCAACTTGCACCACCATGCACCAAGTCAATTTAGCTGAACTTTCAACTCCTTAGTTTTGTAAAAGACAAAATATTTTTAAAACATTTTTTACTAATTTCAATACATTTTTATTTGAAATATTTTTTATACATTTTCCAACATCAAACAATACCTAAAGACACTTGTTAACATTTTGACAACTTATTACAACCAATGCAAAAGAAAAGGGTTATTTAGGCCTGGTTTGGCATCCTTAAAAAAAGATAAAAAGTCAAAAAATCACTATCTTATTTAGGTCACATCATCTTATTTAAGTCACATCACCTCTCTATCCCATTACTTCAAACCTAACCCATACCCAATCCATATTTTACAAAAAATCAAAAAATATATTTATTTAGAACATCATAAACAACCTTAGAGTATCCCGCGTGCCATTATGTTAAATGAATCGAAATTATTTATTTGATTCATCAGTAACTGAAAGGACAAAGGTGCTTATATTGACTGTGTATTTCTTTTTCATTAAAATAAAAAGAAAATCTTCATTTTTTTTTTTGGTAAACAAGAAATCTTCATTTTATTCCAATGTTTAGGCCTATATACGACCGAACCCTCCTTTGTGCTTTCGTACTTCTCTGACCCTTCCTATTCATGTTTGAATTTTTGACTTCTACTAATGTTATCTTTGGTTGAAAAATTTGAAGAGAGATTTAAAAAGAAAAATAAAAAAAATAAGTGAAACGTGAATAAAATATACATATATTTCACTTAACTTTACATACATTTTTCTTTTCCCTTTCCAAATCTCCTCTCCAAATCTTTTAACCAAACACAACGTAAAGGAAACAAAAAAATCTTCAAAAATGTCGTAATTGGAATTTTACATCTAAATGCCATCTAGAAATCTTTACTTTTTAAAATAAATAAATAATAATAAAAAATATCAGGATTGATTCTTTCTCTCAACTGCCCCATTTGAGTAACCTTTTTTTTTCTTTTTTCTTTTTTCGTTTTTGTGTGTGTGATTCAGATGAAAACATAAAACAAAGAAGGGTCTCAAAACAAACAACAGTTTAGAGGGCTAATCCCTCTCCAAATGAGCTCCAGTCATATCGTCTATGACCAAAGCTGTTACAGCTTCTACGGAATCCCCCAGAAGCACCACATGTTCATCTTGTGCCACTCCTATGTTTGCCAATCAATCAGCAACTCTGTTTCCTTCCCTAAGTGTGTGACTCATTGTACAATTACATCTTTTCATTAAGTACTTTGTATCTTCTATGATGGCCTTGTAAGGAGAGTTATGGCTTGGCCCATCTTGAGTTAACTTAATGGCTTGAGTGGCATCAGTTTCAATTTCTACATCCATGGTGCCTCCTTTGAGTAACCACTGATATCAAAGCTTTTGCCACTCAAAAACAGAATTTTGTTTATCCATAAATTCACATTTTAAGCTCATAACAATAAGTTCACATTTCTCAGAAGAACCAAGTCCATCAACTTCTATTTTAACAGCCCACCTCTCCCAAAATAAAAATAAAGCAGTTGATTTTTCTAAAAAGCATACTGCTAATATGTTCTCAAATATCAACTGAATTGAGAGTTTATGCACTGCAAATATCTCCTTGAACTCATTCACCATCCATAAGCCTTGGTTTGGATCATGGATCCATGATCCAAACACAGCCTAAAAAAATATCTCCATTATGAGTGCAACTTGGGATGGAGCAATAGAAGGAATTTGACCACAAGACCCATTAGGGAATAGCTGCCAACTCATTGACCCTTTATAGATCCATTGGAGATTATGGCCACCATGAACGTGGGGTGAACATCCCATGAATGGCTAAGAAAGAACAACAAATGTCCACCATCTGATATTTCAGATAGCTTGCTTGATGTAGAGCACATGGATCAATTTGTCAACCGTGGAATAGCTGCAGTACATGCTTTATACCAAGGCATTACCATCATCTCCGCATGGATGACAAAGATAAACCCTGTAGGAAAGTATGTGAAAGTGGAAACATATCCTGTCCAGAGTCCAAGCATTTGGTCAACTCTTTAATTTGATGTGCTAACATATAAACTTCATCAGCTTGTTTCTTTGTTACCCATTCTTCTATCATCCTGCATAAAGCTCGATTCTACGTCATTCCATTAAATAACAGATACAAAATAATGCTGTATTATGTGTAAATAGTTAACAAATTTAGACAATCACGTAAAAAATCATTTTTTAAGACATGATAATGACGAAGTATATCCATGAAAACAAAATTGAAGAGGCTTGTAGTTACAAAGAAGAGTTCTGTTAATCATTTTCCATCTCAATTCTTTCACATAATACCAAAGAAGAGGGCTAGCAAGAAATTATCCTAGGAAATATAACAGATTAGATAACAGGTTTAAAAACACATTATTAAGGAACATACACAAAATGATGACGAGTTGAGAGCATTTTACATTCTTCTAAAAAAGAAAAGATTTTGAAATTCAGTTACAGATGAACACAATTCAGATAAAAAAAAATGATAGAAACAAGAAGTTGAGCCACCAGAAATCCACCAAGTCAGAGAATCTCAAGTTCTCATGTATAGTGTAGCAGGTAAGAACAGAAAAACATCCCAATGTAACAGAATTTGTACTAACCTTAATTGAGATTCACTACAGCTACTGCAGTCCAAAAATAACACCTTGATTGCAGGGAACAGATCTACCTTTCCAACTGGTTCTGTTTTGTTGTCTGTCCCAAAACAGTAACTATTGCAATGAAATGAATTAGAATTTAAGAGAACTATTTGCAACATAGCAGACCCAGTTTGCAGATCCCTAACCACAGTTCGGAATGATAATTCATGCTCTGCATTTTCCAATAGCTGATTTGTGAACATCTTTTCCAAGGAATACTTCCTGTCCATGACAACGAAATTAGTTTGTGCATCAAATCAATGCCTTCTCCACAAATACTTATTGGAACAATTAAAAAGGAAAAGAAAAAAGTTTCTCGTCACTAACAAGATAAATGGGCTTTAACTTTATACTTATTTTTTCTGTTCTCTGTCTTTCCTAAATCTATGACTTGTGAGACGTGGCAGTTCCAAATTAATCACAGCTATGTGGAACATCAATAATAGCAAAAAATAATATAGAGAACTTTTTTTTCAAGGAAGAAAAAGTGAACTCTATCCAATACCCATTCATCATAAACCATAATAGAAACTGCGCTTGAATAAAAGGGACTGCACCATTGATTTCTCAAGTTACATACTCAAATAATTGTTTCATCTCTCCAACACAGTATTTATATCATCTTATTCCACTAATAACATTCACAAAATCTCCAAGACATACTTTCAGTTCTCAAACACAAACTCAAGAGGTTAAAAAGAAGCTTTTCTGTCATGAGACATTTTATTCTCTCGAACAGCACCACACATTTTTGTATGACGTGTTTGACAGCTATAAAATACAATCCAAAAAAAAGTACTTACATCCATAGTTATCAGAATCCCAATCCAGATCTTACGATCCATTTGCGTACAATCAATCCGGATCATGTAAAAAATTCCTTATAGGTAGGATCTTTCGATCCTGGTAATGGGATCTTATAGGATCGTGGAATCTTGATCCGAATCCGATCCTATCCAATTTACAAGTCTTGTTTTGTACAGTATGACATATTTTATTGTAAATTTTATGTTTGTTGTCTAAATACCAATTTATGTGATCAAAATAAATAATAAAAACTAAGTAGTATTGAATCAAATAGACTAAGAAAAACAAATTAGGAAACAAATATTCAAATATTGTGGTAATAAAATTAACTAGTCGAAAAAACAAACTTAGCTTTAGCGGAGTCTAAGGAGGGTAAAGATGATTGCAATTTTATCCCAAATTTTGAAGAGATTATTTTTGTGACTCGAATCCGCTCCACCTAGGATGCTAACAACAAACCTTATCATTCGGTTAAGCTGCGCTTTTGAGTTCTTAATCTATTTCCATATCCAACTTTGTTAAATATTTTTTCTTCATTTTTTATGCATTATTGTAGATTGTAAAATATTTTGTTATAGAATTCTTCTTCATCACCTTCTTTTTTGATAAAATACAAAATTTTTACCATCGAGTTTTCTATTGTATAATATTATATATACATTTTACATGGAGTATTATATTTTTCACAATATCTTCACTTCTTTTTAATAGAATATAAGATCATTTTGTGTATACTTTTTAAGAAATATTTATTTAAATTAAATTATTAAGTAATTTGTCTTTTTTGGTAGGATCTTACGATCCTCGATCCGATTCTACGATCCAATCCTATAAACACCTCCAACGGCCCAACGTAGGATGCTGATTTTAACAACCTTGCTTACATCAGACATATACAACAAAAATATCAAAAATACATAAATTTCTAACATCATTTTTGTCAGCAAAACCAGAACTGGATGCACTTGTGTAGAACATTATTTGCTTACCTAAACAGATCTTTTGATCCACCAACAGGCAGACAAGTTGAAATGTAACATTTGAATAATCGAATTCCACCATCCAATGGTGCATGGCCATCACCAGAAGGGTATGCTCCAAGAAGACATGAACACTGAGGACACAAAAATTCGACCCACCGAACCTCTTTTGAAAGATACGAGGGTTTAGCCATGAAAACATCTCCAAGAAATCCATTAAGTAAAGATTTCTGATTTGCAAGGAGTTCAAAATTTGTAGTAGGTGTTTGCTCTAAAGAAGTTCCTGATGTTTCAAGCAAACAGTCTTCCAGCTTACGGGTTAGAAGGCTTGCACTATCACCACAACATCCGGATGCTGACAGAACACATTTAGAGAATTCCAAAGCTGGAAACATGCAGGATGAATTCTCCCCATTAATTACTTTTTCAAAAACTTGACATTCTAAATTTGCAGACAGGTCGTCTTTCTTCCCATTAATTACTTTTTCAAAAACTTGACATTCCAAATTTGCAGTTAGGCTGTCTTCCTTGGGATCACTGCAGCTTAAGTTCCCATTAAAATGAAGTGTGCTGTCTTTTTTATTGTCACAACATACCAGTCTTCCATGGTTACATCCGTAGTCTGGCATAGTTTTTGTCAAACAATCGTGTCCATTAAAATCGGCTTCAGACTCACATTTTTGGTTCCTATGCGAGCAAGGAAATTTACATCCCACCAAGTCATCTTTGCAGAGAACTACCAATGTGGTACTTAATAGGCACATACCCGCTGCAGAGGTATAGGAATTTGCATAGCTAGTCACCAACTTCTCACTTATACCTCCAAATGAACAACAGCAAGCCCCAAACCAGTTGTCTGCCACCTCACGCCAGTCAGTTGATGGCAGTTCTGCAAAAAATCTGCATTTGTGAAAAAATAATTATTTAGAAAACCATTTAAATATAACAAATTCCAAGCATCATATACAAGAACACCATGTCCCCATAACCAAAATAGGCCCCTAAATTAATCAGGTTGCATTAAGTTTCCTGAAAGCCATTAATCTAAAGAACATCCAAAAATTCACAAGTAGTGAAAAAACAAGTGGGAAAAAAGCAAGTTTAAAACAAATATTACAACTGCGCATTAACTTGCCTGAAGAATGATCTCAAGTGCAATAAATATGAATCCGATGGTCATATTGCAAGCTGCAGTAATTGTTTTGTTTGTTTGAGAGAAAGACATCAAAGCTAGAAAAAATAATTATCACCAAGCACATGCACATTCGAGAAATAACCTTTGCTCCATTCATATTTTGGTTGTTTAATTAATTAAAAGGAACTCAAAAAAATTTACAACTGTCACAGAGTGGATTCTCTTTTCGTACAATGATGAAAAACTCTAGACAACATTATCATGATAAGCACAGTATCCATATTCCTAAATCCAACATCACCACCCAGGGCATCACCCAGCTTACTAGAGCAGGGGGAAAAAATCTTGTCAATGTTGCCTGTAAAATCATAAAATACTACTTGATATTGCTCTACGTAATACTTCTGATTCAAAATTACTTCATTTTGAAAGTAATATTGAATTCCTGATTTGTCTTTTAGTCTTAATCATAATAAGACAACGGCTCTGTTTGGTTGAGCAGTTTTCAAAATCTGTTTAGTTTGGTGGGGAAAAAAAAAATATTTTTCTTTCCTGACTCAGAAATAATTTTTGAAAATTTAGAAATATCTTTCTGGTTGTTTATTTGTGTAAAACTAAGTTCTAACTTTTCACCCCAAAAATAAAAATAAATAAATAAAAATTCAGAAAACAAGTTTTGTCAGAATAGTTTCTAATTTTACAAGAAGTTACACTAAATGCTAATGAATTGATGGCTATGAAAGAAACCAGATATATCAGAAGAAGACGAACTTCAATACAACGCAATGTAAACTGTTAAGTCCACTACACTACACTACCTTCATAACTAACTCAGCCACATCTAACTACCTGATCTATTCCACGGGGTGGATAACTGTCTAACAGAACCCCAACAACCTACAATTACATTCTAAGCCTTAATCTTAGGTAGATAGATAGATAGATAATAATACAAAAAGTCGATTACACTGTGATGTGAGAAACAACTGTGAGGTTAGTTGAGGGTTTAGGGTTTAGTTTTTTTTTTTTTTTTTTCCATAATTAGTGAGACAACACAACTGTGTGTGAGGTTGTTGGTTACTTTGGTTTCCCAGAGATCTAATGGTGCTCAATTCACAAACAAGAAAATGCTTTGCTTTCCCACCTGAGAGATCTTGTCAATTGAGTCGAGCAACTTCTGCAGTAGAATCGCACCCCTCCCATGGACGACAAGCTTTGAAGATCTGAATCCATCGATAGCACTCTATGATCATCCGATAAAGTATTTCCTCGATTAGATTCATCTTCAGATAAACTCAATACGGAATCGAAGTTCGCAACGATTGGATGATCAACAGGAAGAAGCAGAACGAGCTTAACTTCGACATGATCGTCCAGTGCCCTGAACTGAACTGGAGATTCGGCATCAATCAAAACCCTGGGTAGCGGAACACCAAGAAAAACCTCGGATTCGGATTCGGATTCGGACCAGCTCACTCTGAGCAGAGATTGTTCGAGAACCAATTCGACTTTGAGGTTCTTGCAGAGAATCGATGGTTTGGTGTTGGGGTTGAAGAGGAACAATTTGAGGGTTGGGATGTGAGATTGGGCTTCCCATGTGAATCGCCATTTTCTAGGGTTTTCCGAGGCGCGAAGCTCAGATGACATTCTCTCTCCTCTGGTTGAGCTTTCGGAGATTTGGCGGTAATATGATTAATGTTGATTTCGGGCCGAATGGAAATTGGGCTTTTAGCCCGAGTTTTTTCAAAGTTTGGTCTGGAATAATCCAACTTATTTGTTGGATCGTAGTAACAAAATTGTCCACTTGTCTAAAATCTTGTTGTCCATTATCAGAGGATATTTTTTTAGAACAATACCACATGCATAAAAATCGTATTAAAAATTTTACTTAAAAACATGTTTATAAACATCATTGGATCATTGGATGGACAAGTACTAGTATATTTTTTAACATCCAATCATATTTAGCCTTTTATATTTGTAATAAGAGTGTTAGTGTCTATATAATTTATTTTTATTTTTTTATCAAATGAAGTAAATTTGAAGTTTTTTCTGAATCATCTGAATATGAATTATAATGAATCGCTATTGAATCTTACGATATACTCAATTCAAGATTCAACAATACAAATCTAGTCATTTTGATTAAAATTCCTATTTAATCGTATGAGCCGAATCATAAATCCAATAGCCAAGGTTTGCTGCATTTTAATTCCTCAACTATTTTGAATAATGCCTGCATTTTTTTCCTGAACTTCTTAGATTATTTAAAAAGAATTGTTTAATGTTATTCATACATATTGATTTTTCAATAATAAATTTTAAGAAAACTCCTAACAATCGATATTTTCCCAAATAAGTTTCAAATAAAAAATAATTGTAATACTAAATAATTCCCGAATTCAATATTTGGAACTTTTTTAATATTAGCTTTGCAATTCTATATGCGCCAGCCCAATAGATATTTGCCTTGGGCAATGCCCTCTGGTGCATCTCATGGAGTGTGTTTAAGACTTCTTTTAAATTTCATAATCCATATAACAGTGTTTTGTGCATTTTATTCAACATTCATTTTTTCTTTGATTTTTTCTCACATTGCATCCAAAATTCACATTTTTTTATCATTAAAGGGATTTGAATCTTTAGTGTCCGCTTCACAATAATTCCCACATTATCGCTGAGCTCAAGACAATAGTTATATTTAGAGTTCACTTTATAATAACTCTCATATTATCACTAAGTAATAGATACCTGGTAAATTTCAAGTACAAATTAAATGAGCAAAATTCAACTATCATATTGAAAATAATGATAATTTTCATTATTTCTTAAATATATGATAAATTCTATATATATATACAGATAACATGTTGTATGTTATTGTGAATTCACATAACAAAATTAAAATTAAAAATCCGATGAAATTTAGCTAATGATACATAATAATCCGCTTTCATAAATGGTTGGTTACATGCGCTCTCATCACTTCTATTGTATGGATAATGAGAATAATATTCTACTTAATTAATTAAAGCTTTTGCAAACATGCAACAAAATCTTAAAGATTGAAAGTCATGGTAGGTGACCTCATCTTGGCTGCAATGCCTTTAGAAAATGTGCTTTAATTAATTATTATTTTTATGATGGATTAATTTTTTAAATTAATTAATTTAAAAACCTACTTTCTAGACCTAATTCACCCAACTTGCCTTCTTTTTCATTATATATAATGTGTAGAGTGGGCTGTCATGATTCAGGCAGTCCAACGCCCTTATAAAGCAAAGAGTGGACAAGCAACCAGGAAACCATTGCTGAAAGTTTAAAACTACATTAAAAAATAGGTTTAACAAAGGGTTTTGGATGTTTCAACTTTTTGTTCTTTAGAACATCCTCTCTCTATGTATATATTTTTCTTTAGAAAAATTATGCAAATAGTCGTATAATTTACGTAATGTATCAATTTGGTCTATACAAATTTAATTTGTTCGATTTTGCCCCTTAATTTAACGGATTGTATCATTTTAGTCCAATAAATAATGGTTGTTAAATTAATTTAACGGAATTTGGTCCCTGTATTTTTCATAATGTGTCAATTTAGTTCCTGTCAAAATCGAGAAAATTGAAACTACAAGGACCAAATTGACACATTGTGCAAAGTACAGGGACCAAATTGACATATTGTTTTACCTTCCGTTAAATTAATTTAACAACTGTTATTTATTGGATTAAAATGACACAATTCGTTAAATTAAAAGGCAAAATCGAGTAAATTAAAATTACAGGGACCAAATTAACACATCGTGTAAACTACAGGGACTATTTGCATAATTTACCTTTTTGTTTTTAAAATAATTAGTAGGAAGAGGTTTGGATGCAGGGGAAAAAATCTTTTTACAAAGTGGCATAAATGCATGAGAAATTCATGCACTTAAACCTCCATAGGACCCAAAAATAAAACATCATGCAATTAATATTGTGTTTGATTGGAGGATTTGGGAGAAATTTGAAAATAAAAAGGGAAAAGATGTGTAAAATTAGGTAAAATATAGGTATATTTTATTCTCATTTCACCTACTTTTTCTTTTTTCCTTTCTAAATTCATTTTCAAATCCCCCAATCAAACACGCGTAAAAGGTACTTTATGCCAACCCATATTTTTGTAGCACTAGTCAAATGCAAACAAGCACTACTCAATGAAATAATCTTATGTTCTTAAGCCATTTTATATACTTTGATTTGGAATGTTTTAAATAAATATATTTTTTGATATTTTATAATAAAATTGTGTAGAAAAGTAGAAAAATGGGTAAGAAAATAAAGAGGATATGTTAATTGATGTGACCCAAATAAGTATATGTATACAAAAAAAAAATGTATTTTTTTAATGCATGCCAAACACCTACTTAATTAATTGAGCACACCACAGATTTTTAAAAAGAAATTTGAAATAATATTTATCATGAAATGAAGTTTACACGTTTTTTTTCCCCTTCTCTCTCTAATATCTACACAATAAATAATGTCTAAAATTTATTCAGTGATACAAGGCAACTAAAATATACATATATATATATATATATATTATACTACAAATTGATGTGTCATGCAATAATAAAACTGAAAAACTGAAACATAACAAAATTTAGTAATATGATAGGTATTACACAAGTAAATATTTTTTTATTTTTAAAATTTATTAATTTATATAATATTATTTTAAGAAAAATATAGACTAATCGCCTTGAATTGGACAATAAGCAATGGACAAACCTTTTAATTTTCTGACTAGAGAGAAATTTCCCAAGTCCAACTTTGCATGTGTCATTGGTTTTTTCAAAAAGATATTGTTGAATAATATATAACAGAGAGATTAGTGATTAATTAAGAAACCAAAGTTAGAGACATCGTCAGATCTTGACCTTCTAGCAATAACACTAATTTAATGAATTTAATTTAGACATCTAGGGGCGGATGACTTATTACCGTTTGGTTGTGGCTTTGGTCCAGTCCAAGATCGGATTGGATCGTGTTGTTAGGTTCGTGGGGGTTCATTACGGGTCCCGTTTTGATAATTCAAACCGTCAATGTGTAGAATTCGTCGAGTACTATATGTCTGTAAAAAATCACGTTGATCGGATATCGATAACTATGTGAACAAAACAGTTTTTTTATCAACCGTTAATTGTTTTACCATCCATTTTTTTTTTATACAAAACTGATTTGATCACATAGCTATTGATATCCGATCAACGTGATTTTTTACAGGCATGTAGTAGTCGACGAGTTCTACACATTGACGATTTGAATTATCAAAACGGACCCAAAAAATGAGCCCCATGAGCCGAACTGGACGGATCCAATCTTAATCTCAACTTAAGACAAGCTGGACCCTTAATATTTATAGAGGAATCTTTGGTTCTTCTAAACTTGAGATGGGAATTATAAAATGAAGGAAGATAATCAAGAGAGATAACACCTCCTAATCACTTTATTTGTTTGAGCATTTCTAAGAGATTTTTTAAACGAGACATGTTGGCTATTATAATTGACATTATCATATGTTAATCACTACAACAGGTTAGCTATTAGAATAAGTATTTTAACAAAATTCTTAAAGATTAGATACATTTAAAGAGTAACGTAAGAGTACATAGATTTAAAAAAAAATAGTTAAAATAGAAAATCTGCCATTTTCATATTTTAGATATCTTTAAACAGAAGTGATTGGTAGCTCGAAAGAATAAGGGCTCGAATGGCCAGAATTTTTTTTTTTTTCTTTTTTTCTCCTTGCCTTCTACTAACACAGTTTCCTCTCTCTCTCTCTCAAACATAACTGAGTGAAGTTTCAACTTTCTAATCTGTGTATACAAACAAACCCACAAACAAAATCAAAATCCACAAACAAATCAAAACTGATCAACAAACCCACAAACAAAATCAAATCAAAATCCACATACAAAATCAAAATCAACAACTGATCACAAACAAACCCACAACAAAAATGGTCTGTGTATATATACAAATCAAAACCAAATCAAAATAAAAAACAAACCCATAAATCAAAACCAAATCAAAATAAAAAACAAACCCACAAATCAAAACCAAATCAGAGACACACATAGATTTGTTGAGAGAAGAGGGAGAAAGAGACCCACCATCGTGCCATCACCGTCGCGCCCACCGCCCCATCACCGTCGTGCCATCGCCTTGTCTCTCTTCCTTCTCTTTTCTCTCTTCCCTCTTCTCCTTGTTTCAAAGAAGAGAGGGAAAAAAAATCTCCCTATTTCAGAGAAAGAGAGTAGGAAAACACAAAAAAAAAAAAAAAAAATAGACAAAACGACGTCGTTTTGCAATTCGAGGGAATCGGGCCGCAATAATCTCGAGTTACCAATCTTTATTCATCTTTAAATAGGTAAAATAAAGAGTATCCATAAAAGTACATAGATAAAATAGGGAATAGACATTTTTTATATTTTAACTATTGAAAAATTAAGAGTATTATCTATTTTGCCTAATTCCTCTTATAATCCATTTTTTGAATTTCTTCAAAAAAATAAATTTAAATTAGAGAGATTGAGAAAGAAAAGAAATGAGATAATTATTAATTTTATATAATCTTAGTTTGGGAAGACTAAATAAGTGCACTTTTTGACTTTTTTTGTATTATGTGTAGAAAAAGTA